GGAAAAAAAAAAAAAAAAAAAAAAAAAAAAAAAAAAAAAAAAAAAAAAGCAGACATGAAAAGCCAATTCTATACTCACTTTCTTCCTCAGTCTTTAATATGTACTCACAGAAAATCTGAGACTTCCTTTAGTCAACAACACAGTTCTTATAATTCGAGAATCAGGCCATTTTAAGACATGTTCTCACAGGCAAAAATTTTAATAAAGTGATACTAGGACCTGAAAACCACGGACTTTTTCTCTTGCTCATAGAAGTCTAAAATGATGACTCAGGCAACGATTCTCAATAGGGGAGGGGAGGCTGTCACAATCAAACTCTATCAACATTTTCAAACTATGAGCATTCCTCAAAAAGTTCATGGAAAAATAGAATTAAAAGAGAATATGAATCTTTCCATGAACTTTTTGAAGTACCCTTGTGTAGAGTAACCATCCCTACCACCACCAAGTCTCTTACTTCCTAACAGGAGCTTGTCTGAGAATTGACTACACAAATGTAGCAAATGTTACTAGCAAGAATTTATTATCCCTCAAATAAGTTAAGATGGGGGGACAGGAGGTGGGAAGGTTGAGAATGATTGTTCCAAGAACCCAAACCAACCCATTTTAAATAACCGTGCTCTCCTTATTGATCCTGACAAATATTACACCTTCACCTTTAAAAATTCTTGTTAATCAATGTAATTGTAGATCTTGACTGGGAACAAATAAAAAGCATAGAGAAATTATTATTTTTTCCAAACCTGAGAGAGCCAAATAATTGATATCATGGCCAGCTACCCTGGAGAATCTTCCTGACTGTCCAAATCCACTCAGCCTGGCATAGATAAGCTTTGGATTCTCCTGATGTAGAATCTCTGGGCCGAGCTGGAGCTTCTCCATGACACCTTAAAAGAAAAGTAACAAATTTTTTAGGACAGCATGAATTGAGGATGGAGGTAATCCCTTCTCTGATGCAAACACAAACGAACACTCTTGCAAGGAGTATTAATAATATTTGTTGTGGGCTTTTAGCATGTTTCCAGCAGTCAAGAACCCAACATGTGAGACCATTATTTCTGGAATGTGTGGCCTCTGCCCCAGGACACTATTTCTTTTGACACTTCCCTAAATCCCTCTAGACGTATCGAGGCCTACTCAGTCCCTAAAGTAGGCACCTCAGCCCTTTAGTCAGTCCTTTCTCTCTGTCTATGCCCACGTCAGTGCCTACCACCTCCTCATGCTGCACGTATACATGTACATACCTGTCTTCCTCATGCTGCACTTACAGATGTACATACCCCTCTTCCCTATCAGCTCAAGAACTCTTCTGGCAGGATTCACACCTGCTCTGTTTCCACAGTCCCCTAAAGTGCCTAGCATCAGTACTTTTACAAAAAAGGCTCAGTAAATATCCATGGGAAAAAAAGTTAGCTAGAGTAGCGCCTTAGAGCTCTTAAGCTATCTAGTATCTATTGCATGAACCCAGGTAACTGGCACCTGAAGTCTCCTAGGATTAAAATATAATCAAGATTTCATAGTAAACTCACTATCCTCATCCTCCTAAGCTTATGATGAAGCATAAAAGAACTCTAGACATCTAGCCAGATAAACACCAGCTAAAACCCCTTGGCTCTACCTTCCTCCCACTTACAAGACCTTGGACAAATTATTAAACCACACCGAGCCTCCCTTACCTCCAAATGAGGCTTTTTAAATGATATACTGATTATTAAATTATTATTGTTACAATCCCCAAATATGGCTGTGAGAGTTAAATGAGTTTACACATTTAAATGAGCCTGGTGTACTGCAGACATTCAATCCATTCAGCAGACATAAACTGACTTTCTGCTATACACCAGGCAATGCTTTGGACTTGTACTTGAGCAAAATTATTCGGGCAGCTGTCTGAGAACGTATGGGAGTGGTACTAGACCCAAACACCAAAGGCTGTCACACCATTGTCAAGGCAGCTACAGCAGGTATGGAGAGAAAGAATCCGGAGTCTGGAAAGGAGGAAGAATGACTGGATTAATGATCACTGAAATCGGGGGGAGTGAAAGGAAGATTGGAGTCAAGGATGAAGTACTCATAAAGGTTTCTGACTCAGGCAACTGGGTGGATATTGGTTCCATTCACTGACATAAATAATACAGAAGGTGGAAATGCCATTCTAAAGAAAAAGAAGAAAGGCTGGTGCCAGGGCACGGCCAGATGGAGATGTACAAGACCTCTGCATATCAGCAGTCTGCGGCTCTAAAAGATAGAGCACAGTTATAGTTAGATAGATAGTTATATTTTTACTCGCCTAAAAAACGGCAAAAGCAATTGGAATGGATAAGGTGGCTCCAGGGAGCAGAGTACCAAGTAAACGAAGGCAGGGCCTGCTGGTCTGGGACCACAGATGGCTTTAGAGGGTACATCACTCCCCAAACGGTAGCTGAGTTATGTACCTAGATGCAGTTTCCTGGGGAGAGAACCTACGGCTTTCACTAGATTCTCTTAGGGTTCAAGACCCTCGAATAAGAAAGGCAAATACAGAAGGGTGATCAGCAAGAAAGAGGAACCTGGAGTAGGAGACAGACAAAAGGAGAAACGGGGCAACAGCAGAATCTCAGATTCCAAGTCGTGGAAGATGTCTCAAGTGGCGAACGATCATCAGCACTATCAAATGCCATGGAAAGGCCTAGAAAGGCTGGGACGCACAAGGGCTCACGTGACCACAGGGCAAAGGGGTGGCGGGCGCAGCCTCCATCAACGGCCAGACTCCCTCCCTCGTGCGGAACCTTCCCCTGGGCCGGCCCGCGAGGGCGCTGCAGCGGGGTCGGAGGCTCACCGGGGCGGAAGGGCTCCAGCACCACGTCCGCCCGGGCGCACAGGCGCCGCAGCACGGCCGCTCCCCGCGGCCGCTTCAGGTCCAGCACCAGCGAGCGCTTGCCCCGGGCCAAGTGGCTCCCGCCGCCGGGGGAGTCGCGCCGGTCCACGCGCACCACCTGCGCCCCAAAGTCCGCCCGG